GAAACAATTCCCGCGGCTGCGAGACTCCAGAAATCTCTATAGAAAGACCACTCAAATAGCCTCTCTACACTAAAGAAGACTGACGAAAGCTTTACGGAAAGCCTGGAAGAAATGGGACAGCTTTTGCTAGACACTCATTTTCCAGGCTGTGATATGTATACTGAGACTACGGAAACCATCGAGGATACTCGTTTCTTGTTGGTTACATGAAGAGATCTTTCACTGGCTCGTAAAATCTTCACAGTCAGTAAAACTAAATAGGCCATTTTCACCTTCAGCCCATTTAAATCACCTGGTATCGACAATATACAACCGTGTCTTCTTCAGAAAGGTATTGATATATTAGCACGGATATTAACAAACGTATTAAGGATAAGTCTAGAGCTAGACGTGATACCTAAATATTGGACGAAGGCTAGGGTAGCTTTCATACCGAAAGCAGGCAAAAAGGCGGACCACACGCCAAAAGCTTTTCGGCCCATTAGCCTTACTTCTTTCCTGCTTAAAGCAATGGAGAAGATTCTAGATCAATACATCAGGGAAGTCTATATTAAAGCTTCACCTCTACATATTGAACAGTATGCTTATCAGTCGGGCAAATCGACCGACACCGCTATACATAGTCTGACGAGTAAAATCGAGAAGGCTTTAGACGGTAAGGAAATAGCTCTCTGCACATCGGTTGACATTACAGGAGCTTTTGATAATGCAACATTCAGATCAATTGAGGCAGGAATGGTCAGGAAAGGAATACATAGACTGATCATAACATGGATTCTCAATATGCTGAAAAATAGGACGATAATCTTTGAAATGGGGACGAAGAGATTAACTGTCAAGTCAACCAAAGGATGTCCTCAAGGAGGCGTTCTTTCGCCACTCCTATGGCTATTGGTCATTGACGAACTCCTACAGTCTCTTAGTGACCTCGGATATGAAGTTCAGGGCTTTGCAGATGATCTAGTCATCATGGTTAGAGGCAAATTTGACTCCACCATATCCGATCGTATGCAACTAGCTCTTGATATCACTCAAAATTGGTGTCAAGAGAAAGGACTCTCGATTAATCCGAATAAAACAAATGTAGTACCCTTCACCAGAAGAAGGAAGATGAGTCTAGGGACCTTAAAGTTAGGGGACACTGACTTAATACTATCTGAGGAAATGAAATATCTAGGAGTAATTCTAGATAAAACTCTTACTTGGAAAAACCATTTATCATATATAACTGGCAAAGCTCTAAGAGCAACTTATGCGTGCCAAAGACTGTATGGTAAAACATGGGGTCTGCGACCAAAAATGATGGCTTGGTCGTACAAGACCGTAATAGTACCGATGATCACCTATGCTTCTTTGGCATGGTGGCCAAAGGTAAATCAGACGAAGGCTAAGATGACTCTCAATAAGATTCATCGAACAGCCTGTCTAAGCGTAACGGGAGCAATGAGAACGTGCCCCACAGAAGCCCTAGCAATGCTCACTGGACTCACCCCATTACACATTACAGTTAAAAGGACTGCGACCAGTGCTGCACTAAGGCTTCCTTATCTAGGTAATCTTAAAGAGGGCAATCTGACAGGACACGCAAAGATTCTAGATGAAATCTGGAATTCTCCGTGCCTTAAGGTCTTCGACAAGATGAATAGAAAATTAGCTTTCTCCAGGGAATTCGAAGTGGTCATTAGTGACCGATCAACTTGGAGAAATAATAAAATAAACTTAAAGCAGGGCTCTCAATTATGGTATACTGATGGGTCCAAAATGGATAATGGCAGTGCAGGAGCAGGAGTTATGGGACCAAACTTCCGTAAAGCAATCGCAATGGGAAAAACTGCTTCCATTTTTCAGGCAGAGGTCCATGCCTTAGAGCTTTGTGCAAGAGAATGCATACGTAGGGGCACCCGAGGTACCAACATATGCATTCTATCAGACAGCCAAGCAGCTCTAAAATCTTTAGCAAAATCCTTATTCCAATCAAAGCTGGTTTGGGAATGCTTTCAACTTCTCAACACCCTAGCATCGAGGAACTATGTTACTCTTATGTGGGTACCGGGACACGAGGGGCATGAGGGCAATGAAATAGCAGACATATTAGCAAAGAAGGGTGCATGTACTCCTTTCATTGGGCCAGAGCCCTTCTGCGGGGTAACAAATAGCTTCACAAACAACTTATTATGTGAACGGGAGAAACAGCATCTACTTGAATACTGGAGAGCCCAAACAGGCATGCGACAGTCAAAAAGATTCATTGATCCTGAACACATCAAAGTTGATGCTATCATCAACCTTAGCAGAAATGATATCAAAATCTACACTGAACTTCTTACAGGGCACTGTAGACTTAATTACCACATGAAGATTATAGGTGCGGTAGAAAGTGATTCCTGTCGACTCTGTCATGCGGAGAAGGAAACATCAGAACATGTTCTATGCAACTGCCCAGCGGTGGCAAGACGTAGACTCGATTACCTTGGTAGCGGGATCCTGGTCCCAAATCAAATAGGTAAAATTAAGCCCACTGCAATTATAAGATTTATAAATAGTCTAAAATTGTCCTAGTTGGGCCTATAGGCGCACAATAGATCTTTTAGGTCGGGGTGCAGAAATAGCCTATTTTAAATAATAATACTATATTTAAAAAGTTGATATCTGAAAACGAAAAAAAGAAGACCAACGAATTACTAATTGAACGACCTGAGTTTTAGTAAAAGTACCTGAATCAAAAAATGGTAAGGTATTTTTTAAATCTTTACTAGTCTTGAATATTCTATGTTTTATATAGGAATTAGTGATATAATGTCAGATTTAATCAACTGCTAATTTCATAGTGCCTGGATACATTAACTGATTTCTCTAATTGCAACCGGATTTTCAATATTCTTTGCACAGTTAAGTTAATTCTTTGAGGATTTTCAGAATTTAATCTTTTCAAAGTCTGTGTCGGTATATCTATTTGGCAAGCTTTACATTTCATTGCAATGCTGTATGTGGTACTTTATTTAGATCTTGTAGTAAGGTGTAGTCGATCCATCCATATTTGTATTTAGAAACTAATTTCTCATAGGGATTTCTTCCACATATATGTCATGATGAATGATGTTTCTGGATTACTACTGGCGCAAGTTATTTCTTGATAGTCGTAGAATTGAAATTGAAGGAAAAAGTTTCAGTACCAAAGAATACCTTAAGATATAATGGGAGATATGCGTTTAAAAATTGTTGAAATGGAGAATCACTTTAAAAAAAATTAAACGTATTGGTTTCTGTATGCTACCACGAAGAGATGTGAGATTTGAAATTTTGGAAAAATCCATGCGTCAACTGTTTGATAGAAATTGATAGAACGTTTGATAGAATTTTTGGTATATTTATTATAATTTTTGAATAATATTTAATTTTTTTTAATTTATATTATTATTTATACTAATATTTAAATTTTTTTTCATTTTCTAGCAAAATTGGATATCAAATACAATATTTGTTGATAGTATCAAATGTAATGAGTACAACAAAAGTCTTGGTTATTTTGCTTACTGTGATTTGAAGCCGGTAAATAGAACAACGAAATATTTTTCAGTACGCGCCTTACTCCTGCAACCAATAACTAAGATGAATGCAAGTTGAGATATAAAATTTTTACTTTTTATTAAAAAAAAAAATCCATTTTAGGCCCATTTCACTATGTGGAAGAAAGCCAATGGTTACAAACCTTTTGTGATTAATATAACATTGGACGCTTGTAAGTATTTGGGTGGTAAACGTAATCCAACTGCAGATGTGTTTTATGATATATGGAAGTCTTATACAAATATTAATCACAGTTGTCCATATACGGTAAAACAGTGGTTTTCAATATCTTTAAAACTTTCTAAATAATTTTCATCGTTTTTCAGAGTGAGATGATTGTCGAGAAAGTACCACTTTATGGTTTCAAAGCTCCTTCTGCATTTCCTGAAGGAAATTACCGTGTTGATTTTGACATTGAAGCATATGGTAAACATTTTGCCGGCGTACAATTCTTTTTTTCCATAAAATAAATATTATGCCAAATATTCAGTTAACAAAATAATTCAATAAATAAGTTAAATTTTCTCTTTAAAACTACTTCGTATTTCTTCTTATATCTTTTCACCTTATATCTGTGTATTACTATTGTTCAAATTTCATTAGGAACATAAACTATTAATATAGAATCTCCATCGTTCTCTGTCAGATACTTTTCGCGAAATCGTAATTCGCGAAATGTTTTCGCAGTTACATTGAAAATAGCACGCCGCCATGTTATCTTCGGTCTCCCTCTTCTTCTACTTCCCTGCGGATTCTATTTAAGCGTTGTGTGACATATTACATCGTAACATTTCCTCAGACTGTGTCCAATCCAACTATACTTTTGTCTTTTTTTTATTATTCATATTTTCTTGTTCAGTTACTTACAATAGATCTTTAATTCTTATTCTCCTTGACCACCAGATTTTCAGGATGTTTCGCAGTCACCTGTTAGTTAAGGTCTGAAGCTTTTGTTAGAGTTTACGAACCATGTCTCGCATCCATTTATATAAACGAACCGATTTTACACAAGCAATAAAAATGCAAAAAAGAAAACTCAACGTTACGTCTATTGTTATTGCAAAAAAGAGTGGTGATAAGAGGTACCCCTTTATTTCCGAAGAAACGGTTCGCTTATTTTTTCTGCATGTAAAATTCTTGCTTTTGAGTCACTATATTGTGCTTTTAGAAGGTTTATATTTATCATGGGAATTCCTTTATCTTCAGGTGCATCCCAGATTGCACTTCTTAGGAGAGCATCGAAAGCATTTCAGAAATTTTAGAAATGTATGAAAATAAAATACAAAGGAGTGTTGTATTCGTTGTATTGTGTGATATATTTACACTACCTTACAGAAATCTTACAATGTTAACAGAGTAGATGTATTTAAGTCTGTCACTTAATATGTAAATGGAGTACTTAGGTGAATAAAACAAGATTTTTTAGAAGAACATCGTTTCATTAATAAAGCCAGGAACAATCTTTGCAAGGCAAACGTCTCGTCAACTACATTTAAATTTAGGATAAATAAACTGTTTTAAAGATGAATATAAGACAGAGTTTATGTATATGATTTTTAAAATACGTGGAGAACTTATATTTTGTACGAAAGCGGAGCACATTCTCAGTGTAGTTTATGAAACCTCAAAGTTACGGAAGTGGTCAAACATTTTATAGCAGATTGTCCAATTTTGCAGGAAATAAGTTTATTATATGTCAAAAAAATCTGACACAACACTATAGAACTATTAACCAGTTCCACGGGGAAAACTGGAAAGTACTTTACGGATACGTAACACTCGCACTCATCTATAGAAAAAGAATACTAGAGGAAAGTTTTTGAATTTATACTTAAGAATTAATAACAAATTGCAACAAAATTACATTTATTTAGATTAACGACACTCTAGTTATAACCTTTCAATAATTTCTAAACACCAAAAATGTGAAATTGAAAGAAAATAATAAAAAACTTTTCTACTACTAATTATATCCGTCGAGGAGACAAAGTTTTCTAGTGTTTGGTAATAGCATATATCGCCTTTGTGATGACAATGGTACGATATATAATACAGTTTTAATTCTCTCAAGGCATAAATTGAAAAATAAAAAATTAATTACATTGTATTAATCAACAAAAATAAATTAAGAAGGGTTCGAATAGAAATAAAAAGACAACAACAAAATCGTTACTTAATTTATTGAAATTTGGCTGACCATACAACGCTGTATGGTCGAATTTCTATGCGAATCCTTTCAAATAGTTTCTTTTCGTCATAAGGCACGTCCCTTTTGGGAAGGAAAAATTAACATGAAATAAGAAATTAATTTAAAGAATTAATAGGTATAATATTTATTATATTTTGCTATTGAAGTGTCTACTTTATGTATAGTCAATAATACTTTTTAAACACCCTGCAAACCATATATTTGTGTGTGACTTCCCGTTTTAAATCATATATAATCACAAAAATATTTTCCATAAATATTTTATTGACATCTTACATGTGTGATGCTGTGATACTCTGAACTTAATACTTATTTCATTTATGGTAAAAATGTCATAATTTTAAAGTGCTTCAAACTGTTTTTATCTATAAAATTGATTATATTTCTACTCCAGGTTGGAGGCAACCTCCATTTTCTGGTAACATACATTTGATTTTATCTCATTGAAATTATTTTATACTTCATCCAGTAGTGAATACAGGACAGTTGGTTTGGGTATCAGAGAAGGAGAAATATTTTTACTACTTTTTGATAAAATCTGAAATATTCAGTTTCGACATGCAATGTTGCGACTTAATACGGAGAATTGCATGCACTTTAAAAGCAACTGTGCAGATTAGATTTTACAGTCTTTAATCGGTGGCTAAAACTGCTAATCAACTTGCAATCTCTTTAAATCTATTCAATAAATCTACACGAGAAGTGTGCATTAAATAAATTTCAAGTATGAGTAATCAAATTTCATATAAAATCTTGAGGCAATTTAAAAAGGAATGCGTTCTGTTTTGTATTTATACTTAAAGAGAATCCAATATATAGAAATAGATTTGGAAATCTTTAATTTATATTTATTAAAATTTTTTAAATTGATTAAACATATCGAAAGTAATCAACATTTGTGACAAAATTTCTTTTGTGGCGTTAAAGTAAAGCTACATCGGGTTCTTACCGATTTTTCCAACCAGTTCTTGAGAATTTCAACACATCTATTATACATATTCTTCTTTTTGTTTAAAAAAATTAGATATGGAAAATGTTCTTAATGCAAAGATAAATGTTCCTCTTATAGATATAATAATAATTTAATGAAATATTTAAAAAAGATATCACTCCTATTATTAAATAACTGCATGTTAATGTAATATTGCATAAGAATTCGGCAGTAGAACTACTTCTAACAGAAGTAGAACGGTATAATCAGAATAGTGATAAAGACAAAAACCTGAACGCACAGGCTCGTTTTGCATTTTAAAAAAGTTTTTTAGGAGCATAAATTAATCCTATTTGAGAACAAAGCACTTTTTCGGAGCCTTCTTAAGAGGCGGACCTCTTAAGACACGAACTTCTTAAGGGACGAACTGAAAATAGCTTTCAGTCTTGCAAAGGAACGATGCCAATATACGAATGATCTTTCAAATGATCTTTCGGAAGGTTTTTGAGTGTGGTGAGCTGAAAGATCGTTGACAGAATTGCTCTGTTAGTGAGACAAAAGTCCAATGGTATTAGAGATTTTTTTTAGATTGAGTTTATGTATATAAATAACTTCTAAGCACTGCATGACTTCTAAGTTTCGCATGATGATTTATCAAAAATTATCTAAAATAAGATGTCAGTTCACAAATTAAATTACAACTATGTGATTGCCATAATGTTAAAGAAGATCTTGTATTAGTGCTTATGTTATGCACATTTATTACAGATATGCAATGTGTGTATATATAGTATATACTATATTTATATTATCTATACATATATTTACCCATTAATAGTGTTTATGTGCACTACACATTCATAGGTATGTGTAGTGTTTGATCTATTTATAGGTTTATGAAAGCAAAAAAATTTTTTAGTCTCAATACATTCTGTCCGAAGTTATGGCTTCAGCCAGAAGGCAATGCACGAATTTAGTCAAAGAAATATCGCATGCCAATAAGTCCATTAAAATATAAAATTTACTGCGAGTTATCCGTAAGCGATATTCAAGTCATAGTCAGTGTTTTCTAACCATAAAAATGGATTTGTTTGTGGTTTCCCAAGAGAAAACCACTTTAATTTACGCCCAATCCAGGGTGAACTTATAAATTTCAGAAATTTATGTTACAATTCAAGTTTGATTATTTTACGTTTTGTGGATTAAATTTTTCCAATTTAAAATCGAAAATTATTGCGACTGTTCCGCACTCTCGACAGATCAATTTCCTATAAACGAATTTGAATTTTATTCCTTTTTCTTTTTTATTTGATTTTTACTAAAGAGCAATCTCCGTTTGTGGTCTATGCGCAAAAGTTGAATATATCTGCGTTAAGCCGACCTGCGTTTACAATTCACCAAGTGCGCCCACACTAATCTGCAGACGCACATGCAGCTCCGGCTTAATGATGTCATTTTCATATCGGTTTCTTTAAAAAATGTGGAAAAAAAATAGTATCTTTATAACGAGGATACCAAAAACTGTTATTATTAAGATATTTGCAAACTAGTATCGAACTAACTATAGCAACTAGTACGCATGACAGTGTGGGCTAAGCGGCATAGCCTGTGGCAATTTGAGAATATTTAAGCCCAATCCAATATCTGTCATTGGCATTTTAACTTCATTGTGAAAACTTATGGAAAAACAATTTATGGAAATTAATCTGCGAATAAAAATTTGATCAGAAAAATTTCCTAAATGCCGTGTATCTTCTTATGATTTGAACATGAAAATCATAAATTAACTGCAATAAACTGCAACGCCAAATTTGCCAAGTACGGGTAACACTTGTTTTTTGTCTTGTAATTTCGTCATGAACAAGCGTTTTTGTGGTCTCAGTGGTCAAATGCGCAGCCGTGATTTTTATGCAGAGGATGGCTTCGCACACGTCCATGTTAAGTACTTCTCTCGGGTAATAAAATGTATTTTTCGGTTAATGCCGTGAAATATCTGCAGAAATCCACAAATCCATTCGATTTTGCTGCGGGCGCTGGTGGGTATGAGCGCGGATTTCTGCTGTTGATATGCAACCCGTGGTCACATTCGTACCTTGGAAGATTTGCAAGCTGTTGATAGCATTTGAAATGTGTTAAATGTGCAAATCAAGTATCATTCAGCGGAGTTGTCGACCAAGTCACTGAGGTGCAGTTGAGTGGTGGCAACATGCATTAAAGTGACACAGCAGACATTTATGAATGCGTTTAGCTGTTCTGGTGGTAACGGACATCACAAATGAAAATAATTTCAATAATTTTATATATTTTATTTGAATTTTATTTATTTCAAC